TGTCCTCTCAAGATATGCCAACAATAACGCATATGGAGCGGGTGACTTCGTCCTGTGCCATCATTAATGCTTCAGATGTTTGTAGTGACTTACTTATGTTAATAGAATGCGATTGGCTCAATGAAAACAATTATTATTATAAACAATTGTACCAGTGATTGTTTTACTGTGCTCGTTTGTTTAACTGTGCTAACGACAGCCATTTCTCTCTCTCTCCCGTTAACTTTGAATTTGTACGAATTCGGTTATGCTTAGTAACCACGCTTGTACTTCTTTGGCACGATCTCGGTATTCTTTCGATACCACGAGATCGCCAACAAATATATCTCGACTACAGCCATCATCTGCCTTCTGATATTGACCTACGGGGATCTTATTGGTTAACTTGCACGTAGTCTTCTTGAAGTGGTGTTCATAGTCAATCAAGACTCGACTCCACGCTACATATTCCTGAGGGATATAATGTCATGGTTTGTAAAAGCTACCAAATTTACGTGGATCCACTCGCAATTGTCAGTTGCATGTCGCAATGCAACCTTCATAAAGCACGCCAACTGTCATATTGACAATATAAATCTTACTAATATTATTTGCATTCATATGTAAGAAGTATTATACCCCATACTTCTATGATCAATGAACCTTATAAAATATCAGACGAACTGAGTGACCCATCACAGTGAAGAATGTTTCTTCCGTAACAATTTGATCTTACCTGTAAACTGGCATGCCTCAGGTAACAGACTGTTATTTGGAAATAAATTATTATTATTATCTCCCGTCAGGATGGTAAGATCCTTTCTTGGGCACTTCGCTATGATTGACTGCAGCCTCTCATAAAACTGATCTTTATTGTCATCTTTCCTACCATTGGCGGCCGAATAACATTGAATAACATTCATTGTGACTTCCTCTCTCTATTTTTTGAAAGGTGCTCTGATGATCCTGGTTCCGCGAGATTGCATTCCACAAATGCATTGCGTGCTTTGGACAACATTAGAGCAACTCCCTGAGTGTGTGGGGGCATGTTCCTCCTCATGACCGGAGTACGGCTGAATCTCTCCAGAATTTAGTCTTTTCTGTCCAGCTTGGCCCCACATTGTCCGGACGTTCTATGCTCCTATGAAAATTGTTACTCTGGTTGTTAAAAGGGGCATCGGCCCCGTAACATCCGAAGAATTTCGACTCTCATCATGAAGAGTCATAATTCTTCCTTAAACCCGGAGAGACGCGTTTAGATGGTTCAATTTCAGTCCGTTTGGCGTTTTTATGCAAGGTCGTTTTCTACGAGATGAAGTTGCCGGCCCCATGTCCAACCCTCCTTCTTTAACCGAACTTGGGACCGGCGGTAAATCTAGAAGTGCTACAGGCGGAGTTGTAACATCACTAGCAAGATGTAGTATCCAAGAGGGTGCTTACAGGTGGCAATCTATATAAACAAAACGAGTAGTAGTTTTAGCACCAAACCCTGTACGAACAATCCAAGACCGTTAAGACGGTAAAGATGTGGAGTTTTCCCCTGTAGACTTATGTTCTCGTTCGATGATAGCACATTTATCCTTGCTGCTATAATCATAGATCTAATTCCAGAATCGCAGAATCTCGTAATTTGACTACCTAATCTATAAGATCTTATGTCACATCATAGTTCACAATTTCTCTTCCTATCGTGAAAATCAGCAGTGTGACGTCTAGTACTTCTGAAAATTACACCCGGGCCGTGAAAAGAGCAAAACACTCGATACAAAAAGCAAGCGGTTTCATAGAGTCACCACGATTACATGGCTAAAACATACCACTTGGATTCATTGTTTCCGTGTTTTTTATTACTGTCCCTTACCCCGCGTTAAATACTGAATGTGAAGTTTCTCAGTTACCTTATTTTCAGCTTCAAGGATCGTGTAATTAAAACCTAAACCACTACACTCCGACCAATTATTCGGTATTGACTGAAATCCGAGTGTCTATCGGCTTGAACATGTTGATGAGACAAGTATAATTAACCCCATTCAAAGTCATATAAAGATCGAGGCATATTATATCCACCTTTTCCATGTTACCGTGTGTGGTTGTTTATCTATTCAGCGCAGTCGACATATTAGTGACGACGGAGCGACCCTTACTGAAACCATGTTATTGGTGTGAAAACAAACTCACAAGCGTCAAGCAGTAATTTTGGAACTTCACACAATCCTATACTTTTAGCCCTTTTTGGATCACCTCCATTTATACAGTTCTCTGTACATTCACACCTTATTTACGCTTATTTTCCTTAACCTATTCGGATGCTTTTGCTTAAACAGTATCTTAATAAAAGATAATTAGACTAAATAGTCATGTCGTAGCTATTCCTCCGCAAATGACATATCCTCAATAGGCATGAACATTATATGCTTTACTTCTCACCCTCTCTTTTTATTACCCCCTTTTTCAGTCCCCTAGAGATATGCCATCGAAAACACATATGGAGCGGGTGACTTCGTCCTGTGTCATCATTAATGCCTCAGATGTTCCTGAGGGATATAAGGTCACGGTTCACAGAGGCTTTCAAATTTCCGTGTGAACCTCATGATAGTTGAACTTAATAAATCAATGGTTGCTATCTCACTTTCAAAGGTTGCACATTTTCACTCGCTGTCATCTGTCGTAGCCCAATCTGCTTAGCTGATGACTTTATCCCAGAGCGCATTCAGATATGGAGTAAAAATAACAGATACCTAATTGTTTCGGGATTATGAACGTAGCCCTAAGAGGTTGTCCTCCTACACAGAGTTGTGAACTCAGATAAGTGATAGGATCCAGCCACATTCGGTACAGGAAAATCCATTGATATTTACAAGAAGTGGTGTTGTGGAAGCTAAAACTTTATCAGAATATTTTAATGAAGTGATGATGGTGAAAGATCAACAACAATCGTCGTGGTTGCAGCTTGTTGATGAATCCTGTGGTTGTCAATAAAGGACCTGTCTAATGATTACTTCAACACCTCAAACCCGATATTTTAATGGTCCTAAAGATATTCATATTAAGATTACAGAAGCCCTGGCGGATGTATATACTGGTCCTCTGGCAATACTGTTTGATATATTTTTGCTGAAGTTTGAACTGCCAAGAGACTTGAAGGACGCGATAATCAATCAGGTTTACAAAGCGGGGAGTAGAGACTTAGTTATTATATATCGAATTATTAGTTTAATCAGTGTATTTGTCAAACTAATGGAAAAGATTATCCGATTATCTATATTAAACTGCGCGGAATGGAATAATCTTTTGTTCAAGCAACGACATGGTTTTAAGAAAAGCCTATCATGTTTGGAAAGTCAGCTCATTGCACGAGGAGATTGAGCCTCCGCGAAACATAGCAATATTCCGTGAGATCTAGTCTCTACAAATCTAGGTGAAGCTTTTGATAAGGTCTCTTACCTGGATCTAAGATTAAAACTGAAAGATCTTGGGACCCGATGTGAAATCGTAAATTGGATAATTGGCTTTCTCAATGATTAGAGACGGTGGGTACAAAAAGTGGGGCGGAAGATGCCTCAGGTATTTGGAGTTTGGCAACTCTTTAACCAGCAACACCTAATATGAATATCAACATATTGCTTTTCGTCTATGATTTGTAGCTAGGGTACAAATAGTGTGCCAATTCCGCTAAATGAACTTGGAGTTTCGTTGCGCGGTTTATTTTTGCCTGTTGGTACGTTTCGGCGTGCTTTTGGTATTCGGAAGTATTATGTCTAGCACTAAGGACTGCGTAAAGAACTGTAAATTATATTACATTAATCTAGTACTACATTTTACTAGGTTTTGAAGCTCCTAATGTCCTTGGGCAATTATAACTAACAACTGATAGCCCCTCTGGTAGTAGTAAACGGGCCGATTGAAGACATTTTATGTTTGTAAATGCTGACATATGTCTACAAAAAAATGAACTGTTGGCATCTAGTCAGATGTTAATTTACATTAAGTAAATAAACAAAAGGGACTCAAGATAGTTGTCTCTAAGAACTGTATTAATACAATTCCACTCAATCATTTTTATGAAAGAAATATTGATTAAAGTGGTTAAAACACTAGCAAATTCAGCCTGCATAATTCTTGGTTTTTGTTGCACTAGCGTTTGTGTGTATGTAGCTAATATTTGTATATAGTATGTTAATATGTGCCAAGTTAGTTTAATCAGTATTCTCAGCTGTAAATTTCGATTGCTAACACAAATCACTATAAGCCTGATGAATTAAAAAAATTGCACACTTACTATAAATTCCATGCTCATATATTTAACCTCTACTATGTCTGGCAACTTCATGAGTTCAATTACAAGAATACCATGTTACCTCAACTTACAGCTGTTCTCCTAGTACACTGAAAACCTTATCTCACTTTGTGAGTTCACTTCGTGACATCATAAATAACTAACCACCCACTAAGTGTTTAACTAGTTCATTTCAGAAGTTAACAACGAAATTTTCCTTCAAAGCAGTTGGTGCGTTTATTTACTGTTCACATACAATTTACCGAAAATCCTTGTAATATGTGGATGAATATCCTTGACGCAGTACGAATGTCGTTACTCCTCATAGGCATTGTGTGAGGAGACAATAATATGATAAATGCATTTCACCTAACAGTTTCGATCGCTACAGCCACAAGAATATTATGTGAACTGTATAGTTTTCTCAAACTGTCAAGTCATTAAGTACTGGAGCCAGTCATTCATTTGTTTCATAAGTATTTCTGTTGTATATTGCTACACATTAGACAATGTGTCGGCTTCATTCTCGATCATATAAATAGCTGGAAATGTAATCAAGGTATAAAGTAATTTGATCTACGACTATTCCAGTGAATTTAAGTAAGAATCAGAGGGCTTATGATCAAACCTTCAGCGTCTACGGACTTGCTTGCAATACGTCATAATTTGGTTTTCTTTTATGTACTTTTTGATTTGGCAGTAGTTTTGTGGTTGTGTATTAAGTAATGTGTTCAACGTACCTAACTATAAATTCGGCGAGACTATAAATTATGGATGAACCAATCAGACACACAGGTTTATAACACTCATTTGGTCCTGGGTATTAGGTAGATACTCTCAAGGTCAGTCTAGCGTCGCTCAAAGGTCGGCCATAAGTTATAGTCTCATCATGAATTCTTGTTTGCTTATTAGTGACTTGTTTATTTGAAAACTACTAGTAAACCAAACGTTCCATTTTTACAACTGTTTATCATAAATAAGTTACTTTCATGTTCCAAGCTGCTTGTTGCTGCTAGTTAAAAATTCTTGCAGACGGCTTTGGAATAAAATAAATGAGGTAGTAAGAATAAAAGCCTCTATAGTTTAGATCTTTGTTTTCAACGATAACGCATCCGTCTCTTTAACGAAACTGATATCGTACCACATCGCTACAAATAAATTTAGTTTCGTACTCAAAAACTGTTTCGCCAGCGTTCAAATCCGATAGTGCTTTTCAGGGACTGATCTATCAGGAAATATATGCAGATGGAATAGTTCTATTAGTTGGAGACCCTTAAAAAACTGGTCTCCTTATCACCTAGGCTTGAAATTTGTTTCTCTTTCTAAATAAAAAATGTTGCTTAAGGAGTTGCCTGCGACAGTGCCTAGACTTATGATAGGGATCAGAGTATTTGAGTACATAAATCAGTTGGTTTGTATTGTAAGTTTTATCATAATAGATTGGTGTTTGACGAAACTAATCGGGTTTTGCCAACCTTTATGACTTGTGATGTAGAGGAGATGTTCGTCTGCCAACTAAAAGACGAGTTTACTGCTCAGCAGTTTGATCGCCCCCACCTTGTGGCTTTGAAACGTTACCTTTAAGAATAAAAGATATTCGTGGATTACTAGCATTAGATCACCGGTGCCTTCGAAGCATCGATAGAGTACATTGGGACTACGGAGTGAGCAGTGCCGAGATTAGCCGCAGTGTATTGGGTAAAATTAAGAAATTGATGGATAAGGTAGTTAATCTTATATGCTGAGGTTCTTGAGACATGTATTGCATCTGATCAACCACTTCCTACCTTGATGTGCTAAGCCTGCTGGTTTAAGTTGGGACAAAACTGGGGGTGGCCAAACAAAGATGTGTAGCTAGTCTATGAAGTCATTGGCTGTTGTATGTAGCAATGCTGGTAATTCCAGGCTACCCGGTTGAGGTATGCGTAATTATCGTAACGATTTCTTAGAAACTTTGGAAGACATGACTCAGAATCTGTCACAATGGCTCAGATATATTCAGTCCTTTTTTCCTTCAGATTTTGAATTTTAGATTATTCGGTAGTTTTTCGTTGATTGTTTTCAAATAACGTCGCTTATGTCTAGTTTTTTCTAATACTGTCACTTGTGTTACTACTGTTCCAAGACTTGTCTCGGTAAACTCACCTAACCGTGCTAATATGGAGTGGCTAATTTAGTTGATGCACATATGTGGCAGGTTTTTCGCTGCTTGTAACTGATTTACTAATTCCATTCAGGAGAACAATGTAATCTGACTATTCCAAGTTATTTATAATATGTCTTTTTATAAAACTTAAGATGTATAAAACGTTTTACACAGTCGTTTTCTAATAAAATGTCAGCAAATCGCTCCACTAGACAATCAATGTTAGTGTTTATTTCCAAACTCTATTAATGGCATGTTCATAAAACTCAAACAGATTTTAAATATTTCCCTTAACTATTGTAATCTTGTTTTGTCAAAAATCAATTACCGAAGCCGTTATTTTAGATTTGATCTACTCATGGACTCCAAGCGCCCTAAATTATGTTCTCTGGAAACTGATAATACTGACAATGAAGTGGATATCCTTCAACCCAGCGAAGTTGGAATCAATACGTTCGTACAGCCTTTAGTTCAAGGTTTTGAGGCAACGTTGAAAAATAGGTATGTTTGATTTTGAACACTTCATATATTCATACAGATGGGAAGACTTCATTGTCCGTGAATTTAGAGGTCAAAATTATGCAAAGCTTACTGATTTAGCATCGATTCCGGACCCTACTCCTGAAGTAACTTTTAGAAACACTTATTTATATACTAGGCTGATGATTTTGATATGGAAAAGAAACTTGAAGTTCATTTGTCTGGACTTCGAAATTTGAGCCGTGGTGATAGTGAAGTATTAAAAATTAAAGTACCTCAGTTATTTGAGATCATTAAAAAATCAGGCCCCAGATAATAAAGCAGACAGAACACAGCTCCACCAAGCAATACGTGCATTGTTCCCATCACTTGAAAGCACAACATCAAAAGATGGCAATGAAAATATGATTGTTGTACATCGAAAAGACCATCCTGAAGGTTAGTTTCTAAAATCACAATTATTATTGCTATCATTTTCAGCAAAAGGTTCACGAGAATCCAAAAGAAGAGCCAACGGTATGTCTAAAAGTGCACCATATTGCCATTTTGTACTTTACAAGGAGGGTAAAGACACACTTAGTGCTATCCAAGTTCTCAGTCGTTTCCTTCAGTATGTTTTATCTGATTACTCCCTTTTGATTTTAAAGTGTTGGACCCAGTATATTTTCATTTGCTGGTACGAAGGATCGTCGAGCAATTACCACACAGTTTGTTACAGCGAAAGGGTAAATTTTATTCAAATAACTAATTTTCATATAGTATAAATTCGAAAACACTATCATTGCTGAATGCACGGCTTCATGGCTTACGTTTAGGCAATTTTTCTTACGTTTCCTCTCCTCTGTTTCTCGGAGATTTAGATGGAAATCAGTTTGTAGTTGTGCTAAGGTTAGTTTATCAACTTCACAGCAATATTGCTTTTTCGTCTTTAGATCGGTGTGTGCACCAAGATCCGTCGTTGAAACTGCAGTTGGGACTTGGAAAAGCACTGGTTTTGTGAACTATTACGGTCTTCAAAGATTTGGTCATTCTTCCAAATCCAAAAGTTTCGAAATTGGAAAGTATGATAGATCTAATCATTCTGTCTCATAAATATCTACTTGTTAACTTAATTCTATCCAAATTTCTCTTAGACCTAATGGTATATATATATATATATATATATATATATATATATATATATATATATATATATATATATATATGCATCAGAAGTCCACAAGTTGAACACCAACATTAGTAGTTGATGGGAAATGGTGCAAGATTATTCAACAGTAACTGATAACGTGATGTACTTTACTGACTTGTTAACTTCCCTGACAGTCCTCAACTGAATAGCAACCAAAATGACTAACCTGTTAGCCACTCAATAATTTATCTTTTCTTTATAAAGTAAAATGTGAAACGAAAAATCCTCAGTGATTTTAAGATTTTGGACAGTAGTCATTTTTTGTTCCATTATAACCGCAAAGTTTTGTCATTTTTAGCGCTATAAGATAGCTACCAAGTTTGATTGCAGTAATTAGCGAAACATTTCACATTCTCTTATGCTTAATAAATTCCATGAATTGCATTGTAAAGCAATTGCTATTTTATGTAATCCTAGTGAATTTCGGGTATAAATATAAAAAAATGTTTAACTTTTCTTCGACGCATATAAAAAATGATGGATATCAAAAGATTAAGTAGCAATTATAATTTAATTCAGTAATTCAAAATGATACCGATACAAATATAATGTGAAGGAACTTCTGTTAGAATGCACAACGAATATCCATTTCGTGCTTAATAACGGACCCTAAACAGATAGATGGAGTAGCAATAAGATCTCCCCTAGGTCCAATATTCGCCATATTTTTCTAATCAGACCGAAAGATGGACCACTACATGATACTCCTAATGAAGTAGAATGCTACTTCCGTAGATGACAAGCTAATTATATGTGGTAAGACGGTCAACCTACGAAAACTATTAGAAACATTTAATAATGCACACCCTTAGATTAGTTCCACAAGTGAAGTGCCATAATTAGGTAGAATTTCTTAATATCCTTATCTCTGAAAGGTTGAATGGTTCGTATTAAAAGGATACAAATTGGTTTAGAGCATGTTGCACTCAGGATTATGTTGGAGCACGCTGACTGGACCAGTTTTGGTCGACCAGCACCACCAGATAAATGGAGAAAACTCTGGAATATTCGTGTGTGTCAGTAATAAATATACCAATATTTTTCTTACTGTAATTTATCTCCATTCAGTTTGGTTTGCTTTAGAATATTATTACGTTCCTGTCCTAGCTGCATTCTGATTTCGGTATCAGTTAAATGGATTAGCGTCTGTAGAATACTTGGTAGCAGAAGTAACTGAATTGAATAAAGAAGACTAACAGTTCGGTTCAAAGAAATGTTTTTAGAAAAAGATCTTGGAGCAACATATTCACTTCCGCAGCTCCACATCCTTGCAGCATAAAATCAATCTATTTAAATCTCCGAGTCACAAAATTCAAAAACTACTCTGAGGATAATGTAAACGAGGAACTAGACAAACTAATGGTGTCGCTACTAAAAAATGGATACTTTAGTAACTTCATAAGGAAATACATTACAGAACCAAAAAGGAAAACATGGACTTCCACGGTTGAAAAGAAAACTCTACACTTAAAACTTAATTACATAGGTAATATAGCGAGTTAGGTTCTTTAAGTTGTTTAAATGCATCTGGTTATTCGACATGTTAGTACCTCCGAAGTACACGTAACTTTCCCAACGAAGCCAATACTAACCCAGCAAATTAGGGATACAATACCAATGATGGATTCATCTATACCCACCTATCAATGTAACTCTCCCTGTGAGGCTAGTAGCATTAGTCCCTAAGCGATCGTGAACACGTACAGTCATAATTAGGAAAAGGCGTTACAAAATCTATTGATAGCATCATTTCTCACCTAATCGATTGTATGCATAGCATCAGGATTGAAAATGACTTCTCAGTTATACATCAAGTTCCTGGTAATTTATTAAAGGGCGCAAAATAATACTTACTCCGTATAGCTGAAGCAATTGGTATCGATTTCAAGAAACCTAACTTATATGTACAAAAAATGTCCATTCAAACTTGGGCCACATTAGTACTTTCATTCTTAGCTCCAATTTTATCCCTTCCCCGTCATCATAATTTGCACTCTCTTTCAAGAAACTTTTTCTCATCTTTATTATTCTACATATGTTTATAAATACTTATTCCTATTATTATCATTGTTACAATTCTTATTTATCAGATATCTTATTCGTTCGAAATGGGCGGACGCTATTGACCTTATCTTGAGACCAACTTATGCAGGTAATGTATGCTATACTTTACATAATATTATCTTAGACTTACCTTTTCTTAGAAAAGTCAAAGAAAAATTCTTACAGTCCGGCGATGCAAAGGGTTGTGCTGACGATTGCCCATTGGGTATAGAAAAAACTTTACTGTTAGGTATTGCGAAGCATGGCAAAACTTTGAATGCCATCCAAATGGTAAGTCTATGTAGAACACAGTGAAATGATACCATTTAATCAAACTATGATTTTTTGTTTATCTATGCTAAATTATAAGAGCAATTACTTACTGATTTTATAAACAGTTATTTACGTCCATGGATATGTGGTTTTCAGTATTAGATTGAGATTCTAATTCTTTAAACACCGTCACCCCTTTCATTATTAAAATTTATTTCTAGTCTAGATTTTCTAACTACAGATTAACACCGAATATGTTTATCTCATAATATTATGTAGTCCGACGTATAGCTTCCATATAAATTTGTAGTGAAATAAAGCATTCATCTAAGTAGTCTCATTCTGAAAGAACTTAAAATACCGCTTTCACACTTTTCTATCGTCCTATAAAAATGGATCAAGTTATTTTATGAGGGATCTATAAAATTGTTCTGATGAGGCCACATTAGTGTGCAAGTATTAAATCCAGTTTGGACTGAAAGATTGAAAAACAAAAAAACCACAGAATTAAAATGTATTAGGTTTTAATTGCTGTAGGTCTTTGATTCTATATTAAAAACGTTAAAACTTGTTTGTTTCCAAAATAATGAAAACCAAATCACTGAAAGGAAATTCTAATGGTTCATTATTTAGCATAATACAGGAAGACTTTTCTATTTATCAATACCACAAGCAACTAACATTTTGTAGCAAGATTTAGGTTAACTGACAATATAAATTAAAGTTTTCCATTTATCTACACTACTTCATATAGCATACCCATTCAATATAGTAGCTGTACTTAAAGTTGTGATTTGTTTGGATAAACAAAGCGTATCTCCACCTAATTCTCCTGTTGTAACCGATTAGTGCCACAACCAGGATATTGCTCAACGCAGAGCTCGTACACCTCTACTTAGTAAATAAGTTACATTTAATCAATCATACAATGTTTCAGAAAAGTTGATTCTATTCTATCAATTAGTAGTAAGCAGTTAATCTGTTTACTCCATTTTAATTTTTACACTAATAAATGAATTGTTTCCTAATTAGTGTCCATACCGCACAACACTTTAATGACCTTTTAATCTATTAGTCAAAAAAGTTTATATTAAATTAGCGGAATAAATAAGTTTTCCTTCCTATCGGGGGATAAGTCTACTTCCGATTGCGTCCAAGCTATTGGCTTCCGTCATACTTCGTAGGTTGTTCAGAACCCGAGAAAGATTGACTCGCGAGGAGCAGGCTGGGTTTCGTTCTGGTCGAGGATGTATTGATCATATCTTCACCCTCCGCCAAGTGTTAGAACACCGCCATACTTATCAAAGGCCAACAATCGTAGTGTTTTTTGACATCAGGGCTGCCTTCGATTCGTTGGATGGGACTGTTCTCTGGGATTGTCTATTGAAGAAGGGTGTGCCTGAGAAGTTTATTAACATCCTAAATGCCCTATACACAAACACCTCAAACAGAGTGAGGGCATACAATCACCTTTCTCCACTATTCCATTCGAACAGTGGGGTTAGGCAGGGTTGCCCAATCTCACCATTCCTCTTCAACTTTGCCATCGATGACATTCTGGAAACAGCTCTGATGGATATAAGTAATGGCGATGTGGATCTGTTGCTTGGAGGAAGACTTCTCGACCTTGAGTATGCGGATGATATTGTCTTACTGTGCGAGAATGCCCAAGCCATGCAATCCGCACTTAATCAGTTGGCAATCAGTGTCCGTAGGTATGGTATGTGCTTTGCACCTTCGAAGTGCAAATTACTTGTACAAGACTGGCAGGTTTCTAATCCTGTACTCACCCTGGATGGTGAGCAGATAGAAGTGGTCGAGAAGTTCGTGTATCTGGGTAGCTGCATAAGTGCTGGTGGTGGTGTGAGTGATGAGATCAATGCACGTATAGTGAAAGCCAGAGCGGCTTATGCCAATCTGGGCCATCTTTGGCACCTTCGTGATGTTAGTCTGGCTGTAAAAGGTCGGATCTACAACGCGTCGGTGAGAGCAGTTTTGCTCTATGCTTGTGAAACCTGGCCTCTCCGAGTTGAGGATGTTAGACGACTCTCTGTGTTCGATCATCGTTGTCTCCGAAGGATTGCTGGCATCCAGTGGCAACACCATGTCAGTAATGCAGAGGTTCGGCATCGAGTGTTCGGTCACAGAGACGATAATGAAATTGGTGTCACCATCTTGAAACACCGACTTCGGTGGCTTGGACATGTTTTACGAATGTCGTCCCAGAGAATTCCACGTCGTGCATTATTTGCCGACTCTGGGACTGGTTGGAAAAAGCGGAGAGGTGGTCAGTATATGACATGGTGTCGTGGTATGAAAGAAAGCTGCAAAGGGCTGGCTTGTGTTGGTCCTTCACGACTCCCTGGTTGGGGTGCGAGAGACGGTGTAACGCAGTGGCTAGAGACGTTATCAGATATGGCTCAGAATAGAAGCCAGTGGCGATCGTGCTGTAACCTCTTACTTTCTTCATAAAAAGTGTTTGTATCTTCCTTAACTGAAAGATCTCTTCTGATTGTACCTTTCCGTCTCCCCCACCATTGTTCTGTCTCTCTCCCTTTTTTTTTATAATTCCCCACGTTCATTACTTTTTTTCTCTTTTCTCCTTCTCTTCAAATTATCATTGTTTTGTGTGGCGCATATATATTTGGTGCCCCCCTTGTACCAATATTTATGTGTTCAAATAAATAAATAAATAAAAAGCATATACGCAGATAAAAGGTGCTAAAAATGTAATTGTTGGAGTAGAGGTATTAAAAATACACAATGCTCACTGCATTGTAAACATCAAATATACTAGACCGTGACCTAGAACTTTTGCCATCTTGATATTTCTTTTGTTGAATCACAACCTAATGTCATGGGAAATATTGATCGCATCTAATGGTGTAGTACAAATAATATCACTGTATAAAGATGCAAAACTTACTTACTTACTTTCGCCTGTTACTCCTCGTGAAGGAGCATAGGCCGCTCACCAGCATTCTCCATCCAACCCTGTCCTGGGCAATCCTTTCTAGCTCTTTCCAGTTCTTATTCTCCCTTTTCATATCCGCTTCTATTTCCCGACGTAATGTGTTCTTTGGCCTTCCTCTTTTCCCCTTCCCTTCAGGATTCCAAGTTAGCGCTTGTCTCGTAATGCAGTTTGATGATTTCCTCAATGTATGTCCTATCCATTTCCATCGTCTTTTCCTAATTTCCTCTTCCGCTGGAAGCTGGTTGGTTCTCTCCCACAAAAGACTGTTGCTGATGGTATCCGGCCAATGGATGTTGAGTATCTTGCGTAGACAGCTATTGATAAATACTTGTACCTTCTTGATGGTGGTTGTTGTAGTTCTCCAAGTTTCAGCTCCGTACAGTAGAACTGCCTTGACGTTCGTATTGAAGATTCTGACCTTGATATTGGTTGAAAGTTGTTTTGAGTTCCATATGTTCTTCAATTGAAGGAATGCTGTCCTTGCTTTGCCAATCCTCGCCTTTACGTCTGCATCTGAACCTCCTTGTTTGTCGACGATGCTTCCCGGGCATGTGAAGGATTCTACATCTTCCAGAGTTTCGCCATCAAGAGTGATTGGATTGCTGTTCTCCGTGTTGTATTTGAGGACCTTGGTTTTCCATTTGTGTATGTTGAGGCCTACTGATGCAGAGACTGTTGCTATTCTGGCTGTCTTTATCTGCATTTGTTCGTGTGTATGCGATAGGACGGCTAGGTCATCTGCGAAGTCCAAATCGTCTAATTGGTTCTGAGCTGTCCATTGTATTCCGTGTTTTCCCTCAGATGTTGAGGTCTTCATAATCCAGTCGACCATCAGAAGAAAGAGGAAGGGGGAGGATAAACAGCCTTTCTGACTCCGGTCCTTACTTGAAATGCATCTGTCAGTTTTCCTCCATGCACGACGTTGCACTGTAGTCCGTCGTATGAGTTCCAGATAATATTGAAAATCTTCTTAGAAACTCCATAGTGTCGAAGAAGATTCCACAATGTTTTCCTATCCGTAGTGTCAAGCGCCTTCTCATAGTTGATGAGGCTGGTGTACAGTGACGGGTTCCACTCAACTGATTGTTTGACGATGATCAGTAGTGTTGCAATTTGGTCTGTGTACGACCGATCCTTATTGAATCTGGCCTGTTGATCTCGAAGTTGAGCGTCTACTGTGTCATTCATCCGGATCAGCAACACTCTGTTGAAGACCTTCTCTTGTGCTGACAATAGTGTGATGGCTCTGTAGTTTTCACATATGCTCATATCTCCTTTCCTTGGAATCTTGATGAGGAGTCATTCTTTCCAGTTTGTCGGCACTTGTTCCTCCTGCCAAAGCTACTTAAATAGAAGATAAAGCATTTTTGTAGTTACTTCAATGTCTGACTTCAGTGCTTCAGCTGGTATATTTTCAGGTCCTGCTACCTTCCGCTATAGATTTGCTGATGGCCATCCTGATTTCTTCGGTCGTTGGTGGAGTGGTATCTATAGAAAGGCTTGTGTGTGCTGCTTCGATGTCCGGTGGATTCATTGGCGCCGGCCTATTCAGGTGTTCCTCGAAGTACTCTGCCCATCTGTTCCGCTGTTTTTGAGTCTCAGTGATTGTTCTTCCTTCTTTGTCTTTGACTGGTCTCTTTGGTTTACTATATTTTCCTGCTAGTTTCTTCGTTGTATCGTAAAGCTGTTTCATTTTTCCTTCTCTTGCAGGTTTTTCCGCCGTCGTTGCTAGTTTTTCCACGTATTTCTACTTGTCGGCTCTAATGCTCTTCTTCACTTGCTTGTTTGCTTCTATGTACTCAGCTTGTGCTTGGATATTCTCGGCTCGTGTTCGACTGTTGTTAATTGCTGTCTTCTTGTTCTTCCTTTCTTTGATCCTGTCCAGTGTTTCTGTAGAGATCCATTCCTTGTGATGATGTTTCTTGGGACCCAGAACCTCTAGACACGTTGAAGTTAATGCTTATTTGATACCTGTCCAGTTATCCTCCATAGTAGTTTCTTCTTCCTTTAGTAGATTATGTAGGGCTTGAAACCTGTTGTTGAGAGCCATCTTGAGTTCATTGAGTTTGTCAGTAACTCGAAGGAAGGCTGTATTGAACCTTTGCAGCGCTGTTTGTCCAGTTGTGCAGTTCTTATTTAGCTTCAGTTTTCAATTGGCCACAACCAGGTGGTGATCTGAAGCCATGTCCGCTCCTCTCCTGGTTTTCACATCTTCCATTGTCCTTCGGAACTTTTTATTGATGCAAATATGATCTATCTGGTTCTCCGTGGTGTGGTCCGGTGAGATCCATGTAGCTTTGTGTATACATTTGTATGGAAATAATGTGCCGCCTATGACCAATTTGTTGAATGCACACAGATTTGCGAATCTTTCCCCGTTTTCGTTTCTCTCTCCCATTCCATGCAGTCCCATGATATCTTCTTATCCGGTGTTGTCTATTCCGACTTTGGCATTATATTATTTTTATTATTATTGTTATTATTATTAGATCTGATATCTAATTAGTAATGCCTATACTATATCTTATTCTATTTTGATTTAAGTTCTTACATAATATGTATGGATGAGATCGACAACCTAACTTAATTTATTAAAATGCAATTATTATTATTGTTAAACTGTATCTTTCGTTTTAAAGCCAACTGTAAATAACTTGTAGCATAAAGTAATCCTATCATTTACGTTCTGTTCTATAATTAGCTTGGTAGAGTTATCCAAACAATATTGAGATAAATATACTTTGTTGGCTAAGTCATGTGGAATACTTTCGGAGACATAGATTCGTGTACATCTGTGGATTAAAAGACTAAATGATGAATTTAATTTCTGTTCTTCATGTATTTTAATCATAAATTACTATACATTGTTCATATACTTATTCTTCCTCGAAAAAATAACCACTTTTAGCTTCCTCGAAACCTTCGCCAACTCTATGTACATAGTTATCAATCTTTCTTATGGAACCATGTGGCAAGTCTACGTATGGCTCATCAGAATCCTGATGACTTTTTCGCGAAGCCTGGTGATCTTTATTATAATGATCAGAATGTAATAACTACAGATGATTGTGAAGATGGTATGTAGTTTGTCAACATATAACATATTTATTTTTAGAATCAGTTTATATAAGGTCAGTGTTCATCATGCATAGATATCATTTAAGAAATCAATTTTAAAAACGAACTTGTGCATGATAATTATTTGATTTGAAACTTATCTACAATGTACATTACCCTTTTTTCCTACTTACTTACTTACGCCTGTTACTCCCAATGGAGCATAGGCCGCAAACCAGCATTCCCCAACCCACTCTGTTCTGGGCCTTCTTTTCTAGTTCCATCCAATTCCTGTTCATTTTTCTCATGTCTATCTCCATTTCTCGACGTAATGTGTGACGCAGTTCGATGCTTTCCTCAATGTGTGTCCTATCCACTTCCAGCGCTTCTTCCTGATTTCTTCCTCCACTGGGATCTGATTTGTTCTCTCCCACAGTAGGTTGTTGCTAATAGTGTCTGGCCAACGGATCCGAAGTATTTTGCGTAGACGACTGTTAATAAACACCTGTATCTTCTGGATGATGGCTTTTAAAGTTCTCCATGTTTTGGCCCCATACAGTAGGACTGTTTTGACATTTGTATCGAAAATTCTGACTTTGGTGTTGGTTGCCAATTGTTTTGAGTGCCAGATATTCTTCAGTTGTAAATATGCTGCTCTTGCTTTGCCAATCCGTGCCTTCACATCTGCATCAGATCCACCGTGTTCATCGATGATACTGCCCAAATATGTAAAGGTTTTTACATCTTCCAAAGCTTCTCCGTCAATTGTGATTGGATTGGTACATGTTGTGTTGTATCGAAGAATCTTGCTTTTCCCTTTGTGTATATTGAGACCTATTGCTGCTGAGGCTGCGGCTACACTGGTTGTCTTCTCCTGCATTTGTTGTTGCGTATGCGATAGAAGAGCCAGATCATCTGCGAAGTCTAGATCATCCAATTGCATCCTAGCTGTCCACTGTATCCCGTGCTTCCCTTCAGATGTTGACTTCTTCATGATCCAGTCGATCACCAGGAGAAAGAGGAAGGGTGATAGTAAGCAACCTTGCCTGACACTGGTCTTTACTTCGAACGACTTTGTCAACTGTCCTCCATGCACGATTTTGCAGTTTAATCCAACGTAAGAATTCCGTATGATATTGACTATCTTCTGAGGCACACCGTAGTGTCGAAGAAGCTTCCATAGGATTGTTCTGTCCACGCTATCAAATGCTTTTTCTTAATCAATGAAGTTGATATAGAGTGATGAATTCCATTCAATTGATTGTTCCACAATGATCCGAAGAGTTGCGATTTGGTCTGTGCACGATCTATCCTTACGGAATCCTGCCTGTTGGTCTTGAAGTTGTGCGTCTACGGAGTCCTTCATCCTGTTTAACAATACCCTGTTGAAGACTTTTCCTGGTATTGAGAGAAGAGTGTTGTTCATGTAGTTATCACATTTGCTGAGATCGCCTTTCTTTGGTATTTTGACCAGAAGTCCTTCTTTCCAGTCTTTTGGTACTTGTTCCTCATCCCAAATCTTTCTGAAGAGAATGTGGAGTATCCTTGCAGTTACTGCTACGTCTGCTTTCAGTGTCTCTGCTGCAATGCTGTCTGGTCCTGCTGCCTTCTTGTTCCTCCTTTCTTGAATTTTATCTAATGTATCGACCGTGATCCAATCCTTGTGATGGTGCTTCTTTTGGCCCAGAACCTCATGACATGTTGAAGTGATTGCCTCTTTTATCTCCTTCCAGTTGTTCTCCATAGTAGTTCCTTCTCCATTGAGTAGATCATGAAAGGCCTGGAACTTATTGCTGAGGGTTATTTTGAATTTATTGAGTTTGTCATTATCTCGAAGAAGAGCCGTATTAAATTTTTGTGATATTGTCCTCCCCGTCGTCCAGTGGCTCTTGAGTTTCAATTTCATCTTGGCGACCAGCAAGTGATGATTTGATGCTATATCAGCTCCTCTCTTTGTTCTCACGTCCTCCTGAACCTTTTGTTGATGCAGATATGGTCGATTTGGTTCTGTGTGGTGTGATCCGGTGAAGTCCATGTGGTTTTGTGGATGCGTTTATGTGGGAATATGGTCCCGCCTATGACCAGTTTATTGAAGGCACATAGATTTGCAAATCTCTCACCATTTTCGTTCCTTTCTCCCAGTCCGTGTCGTCCCATGATCTCTTCATATCCGGTGTTGTCGACTCCAACCTTGGCATTTAGGTCTCCCATCAAAATAGTCAGGTGCTTCGTTGGGCACTTCTCGACGATTGACTGCAGCCTATCGTAGAATTGATCTTTAGCGTCTTCATTGTAGTCGTTGGTAGGTGCGTAGCATTGGATGACGTTCATTGTAATGCCCGTTTTCTTTGTTTTGAAGGAGGCTTTGATGATCCTTGGTCCATGAGATTCCCATCCTATAAGTGCATTTTGTGCTTGTTTGGACAGCATCAATGCAACTCCTTGTGTATGTGGGGCATTTTCTTCTTCATGTCCGGAGTATAACAGCAGCTCCCCTGAAGCTAATTGTTGTCCAACTTGCGTCCAGTGTGTTACATTGATCCCAAGCACCTCTAGGTTATATCTCCTCATTTCTGCAGCAATTTGGAAAACTCTCCCAGTCTCCCACATTGTGCGAGCATTCCATGTACCTAAATAAATGGTTGCTCTGGTTGTCAGAAGGGGCATCGGCCTCGTGACTTCCGAAGAAATTCGGCTTTCATCATGAGGCGTCATAATTCTTCTAAACGAAGACCTCCTGACTCCCAGGGCAGAGTTTAAATGGTTTGAATCATTTTTTCTGGTTAGCGTTTTTTAGTGAGTTGGTTTTGTACGGGATGGGGTCGCTAACCCCATGCCTAACCCTCCTCCTTTATCCGGGCTTGGGACCGGCAGTAGCCCCCCGAAAGGGACTCCAAGCGGAGTTACTTTTCTTACAGTGAAACTTTTATTAAAACCTTATTGTTATCTAATTACTCAGTCGTTCATTTCCTAAATTCAACCAATCGATTATAGGCGATAATTCGACGCCATCAACAGCGATAAATAAAAGATTATATTGATTTCAACCAAAGTTATGTACATTGCAACAATAAATGTCTGCCATTCTTATGATGACATTGTTTTAGAGAACATAGCGATTCTCAGTTCCCGTGATAATAGATTAGAAGAAATCAAGAGATGGTATTAATGCAAGTCGACTGTTGATCTAACCCATGTTGGTAGGTTGCAGTCTTCGCTGTTAGTTTATACAATAATCATTAACAATGGTTAAACGTGAATCAAAATCAGTCACAAAGTGATATAGACCTACTCACTCTTTATCTTCACCAGATCTTATCTAGCTGTAATATTATTTCACGCATAATCTGCAAATTCATCCTTTTTTTAACCACAATATTTTGTTTAGTCCTTTTGTAATATCGTTGTTATTACTATTATTTTGATTTCTTTGTTGTTAGTTTACATAGTAATCATTTTTAGTAATAGTCTACTAACTTAAATTGATTAATTTCACTAAAATCAATCAAATTTAATAGTTCATCTATTATTTTCTTGTATAAACACTTCGTTTTTTAAAGGTCATCCATTATTAATTATGTTTGCGATGAAAAGGAAGCATAAAATTAATGTTCATTATATGCCAGACAAAAAAAAGAAGAGAAAAACAACAAAAAGATTATGACTGATAAGTTTCAGTCTTACGAAAATCTTTTACAATTCTAAAGAATTCAGCTTTTTTAAAAATAGATTTGTTACACAAAATTGCAGTGGTGTTTCGATTATTCATATTACCTTAGTTAATTCGCGAATCCTTTTTAAGATCAATGCTTTATTGTCTATTTATGTTTTTGAATTTTCCTGATGTTGATGTCAAAGAATTCATTTTGATCATTCTCTAGACTCAATACCTCATTGAATAATGTATTGGGTGTTCGAAGTTAAACGTAATTTCGAGTTTTGTAGTGACCATCAACACAAAGAATCAAGAGAATATATATATATATATATATATATATATATATATATATATATACACTTTAATTTTATTAAGGTATTAAACTGTGACTGAACACGAGCTAAATTTTGTTTCATTTCTGTTACTTTATCATTCTGCCGAACCATTTATCATAGTGAAAAATAACAAACTAAATACTTATTAATCAATAAACGCTGATTGTTCAATAAATTTGTACATAACTATTGAGCTTTGTAAGTAATGCAGTTGTTAGAAAACGGTTACTAAGTAAGGATGGCAAATCAATTGATGAAGTAGTAAAACTTAATCAGTTGAGATGGCTGGGACATGTGTTGCGCATGCCCGATCACCGACGTGCGATGTTTTCTGGTGTAGGAGTAGGTTGGAAGAAAGCTATGGGCGGCCAGACCAAAACATGACACAAACTCATGAAGTCACTGACAAGCAGACTGAACCATGTTGGTAGATGTAGACTACTTGGTTGGGGACCGCGAGATGATAGCAACCGATGGTTAGAGACCTTGAATGACATGGCTCAAAATCGTTTGCAATGGCGCAGGCGCATTCACCCTCTGTGTTCTCTCAAACTCTAATATGTATTCTTCATGTCCTTTATTTTCTTTCCAAATCGATTCCACTGGACTATACTCCTTAAATAACATCATCAAACCCTAATGTTCCCTATCACTACCTCTTCCACTACGGGATTTGAATCGATAACTGAACCTCTGTGCTAATGTGTTATGGCAACTCGAACTGATGTACGTACGTACGAAGTTCCACGTTGTTACTGACTGACTTTGTAAAGGAAATGGAATGTTTTCTTGGTCGTTTATTAATATTTTTGCTGTGGGACCGTAGTGAACAGTATCCCTAACTTATGTATATGGACCGTGACTCGGAGTGAAGTAAATGAAAGCTGTCTGTTCAATGAGCTATCATTTTTGTCTTGATACTATATAGATGTGTACTATTTTGTATCTGGAAGCAAATAGTAGGTAAGACGAAATAATCCTATTATTAGACTGGTTATGTTATTTGATACACAAAAACTCACTTTATACCACTTTCATCTTTCAGCACGGTGACTTCGAACACACAAGATCAAAAACTGGGTCCTAAAAGACCAACCGTGTTCCAACTTGGTTTGCTGGACTTCATACATAGAGAGTGTAGCTCATAATCAACTACCAGACCCAGTAGTTAGTAAATTAGTTGCAATAATAAATTTGTATGCTTCATTATAGTTTCTATGTCTCAATAAATTTCTTTTAAATACTAAATAAATCAATATTTGGTACATTTTCATTTTAGATATTAGCTTCGACGAATCTGTGTTAGAAACAGACAACTCTTTAATATCCTCGGCAAATTCTCTCTCATCATCTAAATTATCATTCATACATCCTCTAGTAGTTGGAGAAAATGAAAAAATCCCTTTAAATTCAGTTGTACTTCCTGTTCCTGGTTACGCTGTACAGTATCCTAAAAATCATAGTAAATGAGGTTTTTATCTTTTTTATATTGTACAACTCAGCATTTACATAATTGCTTGAATATTAGATTTGATATTCTTTTATGTCAAACCCAATACACGATTCGAGTACATGTGACATTAGAAATGAACCACTTACAAAATTTGAGTCTCTTCGATGTGTATATGCTTAAACACAAAGTTCTTGTCCTTTGTTGGAGAATAATAGAGATGGCTGTTGTCAAGATTCCTCAAGTAGTTCCTCGGCTTTCTTGATGTATTCTTCTTTATTCATAATCACCGTGGTGTGTCCTTTGTCCGCTGAAACTATGACATCTTTTCTACTTTTGAGTTGCTTTAAAGCTTATTGTTCTTGTGGGGTCAGTTAGTTGTTGTCCTTCATCCGTCGAGTCAGTAATACTTGAAGATAAGAGCGCATACAAACTGACGGAAATAATAGAGATGTTTCAGCATGTAACCTGACATTAATATACTCGCTTTGTAGTTATCTGGATGGACTTGTTAATACTAAGACTCAAGCCCAGTGACGAACTTTCAGAATTCAGACAGACATTAACTTGTTAAACAAGTATGATTTTTATTCGCAAGGGTTTTCGTATTTAGCATAACTGTCATGTTAAAAACAAGTGATCTACGTAACCTTAAATGTAGTTCAATACAAGACCTTTGAGTAGTATCAACGCTGACTGTTCGGGAGAAACGTGATGGAATATGATCGATTCATGACAGACCGTCATAATAATAAAAACATTTCACCAAATAAAGTTCCATAAGTTAAGTGTCTGTATTTTTGATTTATCTTTGGTGATCAATTTATTCCTTTATTTCAATGTCGATTACTGAACCAAGTGAGAAAAATTTATCTGATAAGTTCCTTGTCTCAATAGCTCATTTTAAAGTGATGTATCCATCAGGCTGGTAACCGATATAAAAAATAACTTATTTCATACTTACCTACTCAATCGACAACTTCCTCTGAACATGTGATAGCAAATCCAATACCCTTCTCTCAATCCAAACATTTTTTAGGCTTAGAAAAGCTTAATTTTAACTTGGTACTCCCTTCAACTCTTAGATTACATAAAGTAATCCAACTAAAACCTTTATTGCTTTCTCATATAAGTACAGATTCCACAAGATCATTATACAATTACTATTTGCTTATTCTCAATAATTGATTTAGGCGCTGATTGGTATACCAAATTACTAAGAGAAGATTGTTTGACAGTCAAAGATTTCAGTCATTCAGTTAAGTAAGTCAAATTCTCTAATATTTTTTTCGTGTAATCCTGACTTTTGTATACTCTATACACTAGATATTAAAAAAATAATAATCAGTGAAATGTTCTCACAATAACATACTCCTTTCTAATTTCGTATAACCCTTTTTACAAGTCATTGTATTTGTAATAGTAAGTTCCGCAGATTAAATCTCCGAACTAGACCACTGAAGTGATAACACATTACGAATATTAAACACACCGACTCAACTATTTTTTGAACAAAGTGAATATCGTATCTATGTTAATCAAAAGTTTTCTAGCCACTCGGCTGCATCAGCTATTGCGAACAAGGGGGTAAATGTTAGCAACTGTAGTGTCTTCGTTTTCCTCTCTTTCCATCATAGTAATAAGCTGTTAATTTTTTATACCATTCATAATTATTCAGTTAAAGCAAATCTAAGACAGGTTTGTTGGACCCAAAGTTTGATCCCCATAATGATTTGCGATTTACTGGCAGTGACCACTCTATCTGTCAAATTTTCTTTGACTTCCATCTCAATATACATGTAGAATCTGTATTTTAGCGAAATTTCATTGTTGTTGTAGAGACTTTGCACTCCCTGGCTCTTATCGGAAATTAATTGTTGTCCCGGAAAACGTAAAATACGAATTTCATGAATATTCAAACCCTGATATACCTCTCGTGAAGTCTGATCTTCAGTTACTAAATGGTACAATTACAAGTAGTATTTTAACTCCTGCTTCACAAAATGAGACACAAAATAATATCTGCTTAGATAAAGGTAATTAAACCAGTTTATTTTTGATACTTTCATTCGTATGCATTTTATCAATATCTCATGTTATAGGAAATGCATGCTTAAAAATTCAAAAAATAGTATGTCTTTTTATGTCGACATTATTTCACTGTTAAACTTGAATCATATTGTGCGTAACTGTATTAACGGTGCACTTTGTTCGTGCGGCTCCAACTTATAATTTAAATGTGTTTACTAACGAAGTATTTCGTACATGGACAAAAACAAAAATTACAAATACTTGATATGCGGGTTTTGAAGTACTTATCTAGTCTATTTCCATTCCTAGCTGGATGTTTAAAACACATTATCACATCTGTAACTCATTTACACTTATACAACTTTCATGGTTTCGAATCTTACACCTCCTACTGGGTTTTAGGCACCAAAGTGCTGGTACCATTAGCCGTCGTTCAATAGATATCGCTCATCTCAAGATTAATTCGCAGACTGTATGATGCTACATTTCAGGTAGTTGAGAATTCGTGTATTATTTCTCTTAATAGCTAGTTACAATGAAATATCCCTTATGCTTACTATTCGCTATTAATGTGCTTGTTAAGCAACTAGTTTTTAATTAGATTATTCAAATAAGTTAAAAAGAGAGGTTTCTTGTCATCAAATGTGTAGCATCAAAAAATAAACAACAGCTGTCTCAGCTTGATAATGCTCTACATTATTCTTTAGTTTTACCTTTATTCATTTAAGAAGCCCGTGAAAATGCGCATGATTTACCGTTGGGTTGCAAATTTCAAAAATTTGTTTCATATCCTAATTAGCAACGAAGACCTTTTACTTATTCATAACTTACTTGCGCTTAACATAAATTAGTCCTTTCTCAAAATAACATCTAAGGACCACTGAAATTCATGTAAAAAGGTCTCTTAAAACTGTGTGCAGGCTATTTTTAATAGCGTTTCTGTGTAGACATTTTGTGTTATTTTATATATCTACGTATAAGAAGTGATGTTCTCATTGTATTCATGAAATCCTATATATTTTAGATGAGAAACAGCAGGCTATCGTCTTAACGTTTAATTTACCGAAATCCAGTTACGCTACCATGGCAATACGCGAATTAACGAAAACTGTCATAGAAAAGAAATAGCATTTTATGAATATTCCTTTCCGAAACTTGATTTCCTAAACCGTATCCCGTTAAATTGTGTGCACTTTCCCTTACTGTTAACAGTTCTCAATTAATATGATCTATGTATATTCTACTTAAAACAATTATCCAAAAAATAATGCCTACAAGAGTCAATTAAAAACAAGGAAAATTAATCAGACATGAGTTATTATTCTATTGAAGAGTACTGATTTTTTATCTGCGTCTTATTAAGAATTACGTAGTCGTTCATCTACTGAATGCGTGATATACGAACAACTCTTGTTTGTACACTAGCTTACCTAGAATCCTGAAGGGAAACGGAAAAGAAAAAGGCCGAAGAACATACTACGTCGGGAATTGGATAGCCTAGGACAGAGTTCGATGAAGAATACTTATGGGCGTCCTATGTTCCTCCACGAGGAGTAACGGGCGTAAGTTATGGGAATCTGTATTTAATTTCTGAGGGGAACCTGTGCAAACTCTGACCGTTATCAGATAAAAAGTATTTAGCGTTATGGTACAGGAATTTGTGCAGCATTCTTCGACTGTTGTGGCGCGAAAAATAAGCTTATCTTTTTGGTAGTGGTACTTCATTGAATCAACCTTTATTGTTATGTAGGTACTACGTTAATGGTTAAACGATGCAGCCCAGAAAGCACAGGTCACTAAAAGTTAGTCTGCAAATCAGAAACATGCCTTCGTTTCATTTATTGTTTGGCAATCGCCTTACAAGAGTTGTGTAGAACTGTCAATTTTATTTCATCTTGCGCCAAATTGTTTTCGACTAATGAGTGCGTCCCAATTAATTTGCATCTTACAACGCACGGTGTATGAAATTTTAGATACTTTCAGCTCACATATGGTCTATTCGACAATTTATTATAACAAGAACAACCATATACACAAGCGCTTATAAAACAATAAATATTTTATGAAAATTTAGTTTGTTATAAACAAATATACAGTGTTTTATCCTTCCAGGCTTAAAAGTACTCGATATATGTTTAGTACACTAATATGTTATTGTATCAGATCGAGGTTTACCCGATGTACGGAGGGCTTTAATTCGTCCATTGGAAATTCTTTGGTACCCGCTATTAACTAGTGCTTCTTTATAACTTCCTCTTGTGAAACCACTAGGATCACGACGAAACGCTGAGTCAGCTAGAATATCTAATCTTCCATCTGTTTCACCTAAAGGACATTGTGATATTTCTGAACCTTGTGCCCAGACGTTGGTTCCATCCATTCCAGTCTGTTTTCTTTTCATTTTTAAAACTAGGCATTTGTACCGAACAGCCAAAATTATTGTACTTGTAATGAAAAGGACGACGATTAGCCCAGAACATACTACATGAATAAGAAATTTAAATGTAAAACACGAACCATGATTATTAAACTATTGTAAAAAAATTTACGTATTAGAGTTCATAGCAAAGACCTAACATTCAACAAGTATACGTTGTTATTAAGCTTACCTGCTGTAATACAGAATAAAAGCTTCTTTAGGCATATATGATCTTGTCTGAATTCTGCTTTTTGCTTCAAATCAAGAATCCATTTTGGCAATGGACCAAACCATTTATCATCCGCAAAATTACACATATGTGGGTACGAATCATCATCGTAATTTGTCACGCTACTACTGTCTACTTCGGATTTGCATACAAGTAGGTTAGCATGAGTTAAGCAACTTTTCACTGCAGATGATTCGGCTAGATGTAACTGAAAAAATAAAAGGCTAATAAGTTACTCAAACTCTCTAAATTATAATCATTATGTAATTGAAATATATGTAACAAATATGGTTGCTATTATATAGACCAGATAGCTGCTTATATTCCACGAAAAATTCACCACACATTCTTCATAAATATCGTTTGTGATAATAATCCTGGATGATCCTTATTGAGTAGATGTACCAATAAATTTCTCGACATAGAACAAAACTGTTCTAGGAAAGTATGTCTGTTTCTGAGAACGAGATCGATACGCTTCCGAAGCTTCGTGCAAACAAATGTCAAGTCAAATAACAGTAAAAGCATTCCGGAAAATTTTTTCATAAACAGTATAATCAGCCTGTGGTGATTCAGTTTTAGTGGTTGGATTGAGATATTAGCTACAGTTTCTAAATTAAATGCAATTTCATGACTAGGTTAAGTCGCTGATTGTTCCAGTTTATAATAAATGACGAAAATCCTCTTGTGACAACCACAGAAAAATCGGTTTGAGTGATAATGTGACTAAAGGAACAACCACACTGATTATCCGACGCTTAATTAGGGATTGCGATGAGTTAGTTCGAGAAAGCCAGACTGGTTTCAGACCATTGCGTAGGTATGTAGAACAGATATTGGTATTTTGTCAGCTTATCATTGTTCTTGGCCTTAAGAAAGTTTGATGGGTCGACAAGTTTCATGGCGATGTCTGTTGACAATTAAATTATCGAAATACAAAATGTTGACAGAGAACTAGCCTGAATTAACTATAGGTAGTGAAGTAAAGTGCGTAGTCCGCTTAATTTTGGAAGTTGATTGTTTGACGAAAACTCGATGCCAACTTAGCACACCCGGTTCGCCATTACTAACTTACATCCTTTTTAGTGTAAGCAAGATTTACGTCTCACATCCAAAGAACAACTATACTGCACAGCACTCTGCTTTTTCTAATTCATAGTCATTAAGAAAAGTGGATATTCGTCAGTCCCTAGTATACAACCACATTTGCATGTTGGAACCCGTTAGCGGGACATAGATTGGATTAAAGCATGCTCAATGCACGATTGCTTTGGTGCACGCTGATTAGCTAATTCTTACCCAATCAGCGCTAGCCGATACTTAGAGAAGTATCTCATGTCAGTCAGTCAGCTGCAACGTAGGACCAGGCACGTATATGCATCAGTCCAAGTTGCCATACCGCATTAGCACAACAAGATGAACACCGGATTCATAAAAGTAGTTAATTCAGTGGTGGTAATATATAGAAGAAAAATTATGTATAAGGAGATAGTACAGGAAGAAAGAATTAGTTCCTAGAAAGAAAGATTTAAAGCGATTTTAATCTCTTAATTTAAGGAAGGCAGAGAGTGTATACACTGACGCGATTGTGATCGATTCTGAGCCATGTCACCAAGAGTCTCCAACCATTGGTTACGATAGTCACGCGGACCCCAACCAGGCAGTCTGAATCTCCCAACATGGCTCTGACCAGAAGTTAGTGACTTCAAGCACTGATGCCACGTTTTGGTTTGGCCGCCCCTAGCTTTCTTCCAATTATCCCTAACACCAGTGAGCATTGCGAGTATCTCATGTAGAAGCTATAAATATACTGTGGTGTGTGCTACTTATGTAGACATATGTGGTATATGACGTGAGGCGTGAACAGAATGTCTGGCAGCAGAGAGACGAGAAGATCGAACAATAAAGAATGAAGGAAGAATGCAGTTTGTATGAAAATGCAAGGACAAAGGTATTCTGAGTCATTTGAGAAAATTGATAAACATTTTGCAAATGGAGCATTTAATATATGGTTGTTAGATTTTACTAACTAGTTCTGTAATTTGTTGTTAAATACATTCGATTGTCCCCACTGGTGTTTTGTTCACTACAATACTAACGTTTTTCCTATTGTGCTTCTAGCTTCCATCTAACCTTGTTATTTGGAAAATAATCTCCTTCCTGTCCAACCGTGTTCTGATTTGGGGAGTGAATTAGTGTCCGAGAATACTAAGCAATAGGAATAGCTGGGTTGTAATAAGAGAGAATTATTACAGAACCACTGAATGCCCCAATGCTGAGCTTAGCAATGGAGTACTAGGTAGGCATGGCGAATCGACTGGTGATGTAGGGAACCTCCATAGGATAAAGTGATTAGAATCTGTACTTAGTACGTCTAACCACTGCTTACCTCAATGTGCGATGATAGATGGTGTAAGAGTAAGTCGTAAAAAAAGGAGGCTGCATAGAAAGGTAGTATCAGTTCGTAAAGTCAGTAGCAGTTGTGCTAAGCTGCATTGGTTTACCAATGACTGGAGAAGATGGGGAACATACATTGGGAGTTTCGTTGTTAAAATCAATTATGAACGAGTGAGAATGAATTGTAATAAGAATAACACGATACGTTTTGAGGTAATGAAAAAGTGCTGAATTCACTACGCATGAGAATATTCGTAGTATTAGTTAAGAGAAAACAAGATTATGATTTACCTGAGATCCCGGAACCTTCTCAATTGTCAGACACATTCTCTCGCCACTTTCGATGTTAGGATAGTCCATTGTGGCTTCTAGAACATCCCCAAGGTAAAAGACGACACCGCTGTGAGTTTTACTCTCAGACGTTTTACTTATTGGTGAAATAATATCATCCGACTGTAATGTTTTGTAGAAATAACGCATATCATTGACTTTAGGAAGCAGGCTATTTAAGTAAGAGCACTTGTCAGCTGCCTGAACCCAGCTCCGGATTGTTACATTCCTGTACCATGTAAAGTTGACTCTTCTTCCATGTAATCCAACCCGTTCTACGCGATAACCTTCTGGTCGTTCAGTTCGCAGCAAGCTTTCAGTAAAGAGTAAATGAATTGAGCATATAACGATTAGTGATGCTTGTGTTATTTTCATCATGACACAAGTGATTAACAGATATGAATCTATGAAACTGAGACAAGAAAATGTTAATAAAACAATAACGAAATTGTTACAGCACAAATAAACATTAAAGAAAATTTGATTGGTTGGTTATAGGTATGCAATAATTATATATTCGTATTTACAAATTAAAATGCTGAATTATGTTAATTAGCATAAAACAAGCAAATGACAAACCTATTATTGTAGAGAACGCTTGTGAGTAACCACGAAATTTCACTATGTTGGTTTGACGAACAAATAGTAAGTATGTATTTTATGCATCAGGGTTGAGATAGAACAACAAAGGTAATGTTATACACGATAACTTACTTAACCAAATTTATTTGTCTGGTCAGCAGAAAATAAGCACCAACAGTTATCCAGTTGTGATCTTCGATCACAAGAACTAGCTTGGATAATTGCACAAAACTTAAAATAAATAACAGTTCAGCCATCGATGTACTAGATAGACAAAACGTTTCCAAGAAATCCTCAAGTTAGTTACTTTGACGTTAGTTCAATCAACATCACGATTAAAGTCATAATGAAAGCTAAATTGGAAATACTTTCTATAAATAATGCAGTGATCGTTGACGAAAAAGTGGAAAGATTTCTATATCATTCGGAAGTAACAAAGAACCTTTCCATATGTTTCCTGTAAAAAAGAGAATAACTTTATATACCAACCAACCTATAACCTTATCATACTGGTAGAGAAAGCCTATTTCACTTAATTTAAACACATGAACATTGGTGAAGGAGTCACTAAATAAACCACTCGATTTGTCTGAGGGCTGGCATACTGCACGGATATCCAAACCAAAGTAGGTGGTTTTATTAGGGGGTCACTCCCCAAGGGTCTAACCCACAATCCAGTGGAGCAACGTATAGAGATGCAGTCCCATGGTAGACGGTCACCAACAATAGGTTCATGCTCTATTTGTTCCCTCACCATTGATTTGGAATCAGGATTTTCCAACTCCCCTAGGTGAGTTCACCAACCCGGTTAAAGCGCCGGATTCGCTTCTCGTCCTCTCAATCTTCTAAACAACTGTAGTGTAGCGAGAAGGCAGTGAGTAGGACTTCCCTGGCAGCGGTTGTATACGCGCAGTCACATGAGGGCGTTTCGAGGGAGAACTGACTCCTCACTCTCGGCCGTACCGGGGCATTTGGGGGGCCAAAACAACTATGTCAGGTTCTATGATAACCACTATTGAGAATAGCATTAACGGCTATTTACAAAATGTAGGAATTATCTGTACATAGAAAAATCTGCATAAAGATAGTTATTGCATGCACTGAAAACCAAACAAATAACAAATAGGTTTATTTCCTCAGCTTTAGGGCCCCTGAGCGTGAAAGTGAATGATAACTTCTGGTGACTCGAATAGAACTAAAAGGTATCATCCTAAGGACAATTCATATGTTAACACAGAGAATCATGGTACCCGAGTCTTACTTGAAAATCCCGTAATACGAGCGTACAACCTCAATATTTCCAATTCTTGCTTTACCATTTATTTGGCAATGATAAAATGTAACACCACAGTATTTATCATTTCACGGGCTTAAGCTTGTCAATTTGTATGAGGTGTGAAAAGCATTATGTTTAGAGAACTTGGATGTTATTATCCTGAGAATCGCTGTTACACTCCTTTGAAAATGTGCGTTTGTATTTTGGCTATAACCAATGATTAGGATCCCTGGAAACTCATACTTCAATCCTGAACGAAGAAAATAGAAATATTGTTTGATCTGGCAATAATAATAGCAGATCAACCATTTAGAAAATTAACTTTCCGCACAAAAGTTTTTAAGATCTAGATTGAACACAAATGATTTTTTCAATAAATATTGTTTAACGTCAAAACTCAGAAGGGAGCTTTGAATATACTACACACACTTGATCCGTATATATTACTTTTGAAGTTATCATATTTAGAATCTGGTTCTCTTTGAATGAAAGTGCCTGGGAGTAATAATTTTGAAGCACTATCAATATGCTCCCGACAAATACGAGTATTGCCAAAACATTTTCTGCATTCAATATTTACAGATCTATTGAATATTTACACAGTGATTAATACTAAGTAGGAATCGATAATTTGATAAAAACTTGGAGTAGATTTCCGGTCCGTTAGATAAATAACAGGATAAACAGTGGGTCAGTGTCATAAAACTACTGGACACGAGTAAGAATAATCGTGATGTTTATTCCTGAGTAATGGTCAAAATTAACTCAGCTTGGCCCAAGCTGTTACGAAGAGATGAAATTAATGGATGTATTAACTATCGTATTATCAATTCAGAAAATCTTTACCTAACAATACTTAGTCTATAATTACATAGACTAATGCGAATCTTGGATTCTCTACTTATTTTTTTCCTAACAGGTCCCCACTCTACATGTTAGGCAGTGTAGTGGGCGTAGGTTTGGAATACGCAACATACTCCTCACCTGCTTCAGTCACGGCAACCGATTTGACATGTTATTTGAGACTATAAATTGCACCTCTGCATTGCTTCACAATACACGAGCAATACATTGGAGTAGAGCGAGTTCCCCAAATTCTTGTTGCAATCTCGATAGACTTAGCCCATCTAGATTAGTAAAAATTCCAAGATAAGAGATGTGGTTAACACATTAACAACTTTGACCATTATCATTGATTTCGATGTATATGCAGACCACTCCTCAAACAAGTTGTATTTAGAGGGAGAGCGGCAACATCTCAAACAAGCTTTTCACAGTGGTTCAAGATAATAAGACAGTATTCGGTCAGCATCTTAATTGAGCAGAAATAGGTTATTTGGGTATTGAGACAGTAAAATGAACTTATAAAGGAATATCTAACGTACTCAAGTAAAAATGAAGTAGGTGTCTTGAATAACAGCAGTAGATGACAATAATCATGAAAGTTGCCCATAAATTTCTACAAAGAATGTTTACGCACTTCGTGATCCCTCGATCGACTGAATCAGTCGTATTTAGCATTGTGGATAAAAGATACATGTTTTGCTAAGCACTACACTCTAAAATCGAAACTGAACAGATTACAGTAATATATAACACTGAAGTTATGAAATTCTAAGAGTGAAAAATCCATTTAACTATCATACAGCTGATATTCCGTAAAGCCAAAATTGATCTTAATTTAAACCAAATTTTCATTGGCAAAGATATTTATGTTTAGAAGCATCGATCAAAATAGTAGAACGATTATTCGTGGTGGTAGTTAGTTACGTTTGTTTTGCTTTGATTTTTTCCGAGATAAACAAGCAAGAACAAATAGTTTAATATGATACTCATAAATCTTTCAAATAGAAATACGTTTGTAGACGATAAATTATATTGAGTTTAGGAATTCCAAAAATTTGAAGACACCAGTTGTCTTATTGACAGATTCTGCCTGTGTACATCGTCAAGATGTACAGTCCAATCAACATTTTCGCATAAACCTATAATACTAATAATTATAAGTTAAACAATTTTGATATACATATTTCAAGATCAAAAAGCTAAATGGTGGCTGCGAAAGCAGGGAATGAAAACGTGAATAAACTGAAAGAACATGTCAGATTAGTTAAAAACATCGAGTAAAAAAAAGAACAACACGAAGATGCTTCCGCAAGATGGGATGTATTCTGAAAAGCTAAACATACAATCAAACGATCTATTATCATCGCGGAATAACGATTATATTTGCAAGTTGTGAATAGAAGAGTCAATTTAATTGAGCAGTAAACCGTAATTTCTTAACAGTAGACAATGTAAGAGAATTCGTACTAAGTGTATGAAAACTAAGTAGCATACTATACAAGCAAGAGACTAATCTTTCAAAGATAATAAAATTGATATCCTCAAATCTGCACAGATAGCTTTCTTAGGTATTTAGCAAAAATCTTGTATGACTGCCCGAACAAGCATTGAAATAATGAACCGATCAACGTTAGACCACCATTGAAAACCTGACGGCTGTTCCGTCATAGTATGATACTTCTCAACAGTGCGCATCCAGGACCCGAGACACAGGATCCGAATCTAGGACCTTCAGTCTCGCGCGAACGCTTAACCTCTAAACCACTCAGCCAGCACTAAATGGTTTTAATGTTCAACTTCAACCAAAACAAACAGCCGAACGATAGCAGTCTAGTATTATACTAAATGAATAAGATATGTATATAGGTCCGGCATTTTCAGCATTGGTATTATTATTTCAGACTACAGAAAGCATAACTGTCGAAAATCGCATTACATTTCACTGTTAAGAAAGACATTAGCCCAGAAAACGGTACAATTAAAAAGCAGTTAAGCATAAAATTTATAACAAAGGAAATAAAGTAAAACATCACTTAATTTTTACTAAATAGGCTTACATAATAATTGGCGATGCATAAACAAAATGGATAATAGCAAAGAAAATCCTGAACCCGAAACAAGAAATAGTGTAAATGGTTAAGTGCATTATTTGTGTGAATTAAAAATGACTTACACAAGTCTCAAATCTTATTAAGCTTACCTATTAAAACTTGAATAACCTAAGTTTTTAATGGTATTTAAACTTTGAATGTTAGTTATGATTGCTGCGTGATTGGACCTGATGAATCTAAGAGTGAAAGTCGAATAATTTACTTCTCAGATATTCATTTGCGACAAAGTAGTCACGTTTACATATCAAGACCCAAAGAACTTGAACCAATTATTGATTTGGTTAAACTTCGATGAACGTGTGTTCATTCATTACCTACATATCCTTTGGCTGCTACTAATATATTCAACAATCTTATCAACCCGTAAAAACTTCAGAAATTTAACTTGTATTTATTTATGGGCGGAATGACTCGGTGAACTTATTGATATTCCAAATACGATCATTTATTTTGGTTGTCGCTTTAAACCTGTTTACTACGGAGATAGTATTGGATAATAAGCATAGGACACATTATATAGCCTCAAAAGTACTTCTACATGATTATTTATTTATTTGAACACATAAATATTGGTACAAGGGGACACCAAATATATAGGCGCCACACAAAACAATCAGAATTTAAACAGAAGGGAAAAAACAGGTAAGGAACGTAGGGAATTATTAAAAAAATAAACAATAATGGGGGGAACGAAAAGGTACAATCAGAGGAAATCTTACAGTTAAGGAAGAAGCAACCACGCTTTACGAAGAAAGTAAAAGAAAGTTACAGCAGAATCACCACTGGCTTCTATTCTGAGCCATATCTGATAACGTCTCTAGTCACTGTGTTACACAATCTCTCGCACCCCAACCAGGGAGTCATGAAGGACCAACACAAGCCAGCCCATTGCAGCTTTCTTTCATAACACGACACCATGTCATATACTGACCACCTCTCCGCTTTTTCCAACCAGTCCCAGAGTCGGCAAATAGTGCACGACGTGGAATTCTCTGGGACGACATTCGTAAAACATGTCCAAGCC